CCCCAAAAATGTATCACAGATTGTTACGTCTCCTTCATGCAGTTTTGAAGTTTCACTGTCATGTTCACTGCTTCATAGCAAGTGATACACTAACTGTGAGGTCAACAGGCATGCCTTGCTGACTAGTCACATGGCACCCTACAATGCCCTCTACCACCACCCCTCCAGCTCTCCATTTTCTTCGTAAACATGAACATGCAGAAACTTTTTGAAGAACCCTCATACTAATTTAGTTTGCAGAATAAGGAACGACTCTGTGTACAGAACTTCTTTATTCCTGTTCTATTGCACAGTGCAACTGATTCTTTGAGTGTGACTTATGTGTTTTTGGATGTTGGCAATCACAGCAAATTTAAAAATTATATGCAGAATTAAAATCTAGTAGACAATTTAATATTAAACCAGATATCCTGAACACAAAACTTAAAATCCAGGACATCTGTTCATCATAATACAATACCTTGTGTAAAACATTCAGTGTGCAAATCATAAATTGCACAAAATGTGCAAAATCAACATACTGCACAAAATACAAGTATTTATTAGTGACTATAGAATTATCTTCTTTTACAAACTCAAGAGCTATTTAGAATTGACTGACTTGGAGAAAATGACATATTTTATGACAAGTTCTGATATAAAACAGAGCAACAAATCTGACTTTTCTGAACTGAGGCAGTCTCTTAAAGATACATGATCACACTTCCATCCTTGCACTCACACAACACATGATTTTAAAACACAATGTAATTCTCACAAATTCCATCTCTGAAGATTAGTAGTTCTTTTATAGTCACATTAATAAAACTTAATTTACTTAATTTTGTTAACATATGCATCAAGTTCTGCATCCAGTTCTTCAGCAGTCGGAACAGTTCTTGATTGGCCTCTAGAACTACCTCTTCCTCCTCGGCGCATACCTTGAGAGGAAAAAAAGCTTGTTTTAAAGTGCAGGAAATTTTTATCTTTGTACAGCACATTATTCCCCATATAAATACATTTAATATCAGTCTAGTGATTAATACACATAACCATTAGTTGAAGAATTAGATATGATTTGGGAAAAACTGAAGAAAAAAAATACTCTCCTGGAGAAAACGGGCTGAACTTTTATGTACTTATATATGGTCATAAATTATATCTCAAATAGGCATAGACCAACAGCTGATGTTTCCAGTTTAATTTTAGTCCCACCTGGTTTTCCTGGACCTTCCTAATGGCATATTGTAAAGCAAAGTTGAAATGGACTTATCTCCTTGTCTTAGACCATTCTGGATAGCAAATTTATCAGACAACTGTTTACCTATACAGACTTTACAATACGTTTTGTTTAAACACATTTAAGTCAGCTTAACTAGTTTCATGGGTATCCCAAACTTCTCAAGACACCTATTACTGGAAATGACACGAGTGAAAGGAGTTCCTGTTTCTAAAAGAAACATATTTTGTCAACAGGAAAATCTATGGCCAGTGCACAGATCAAACATTTATATGACATATTCCTTGGCTTGAAAGTGCCTTAACAGCTGCATAGGCATGGAGCATTTAAAGACTATTAAAAGCAGTGAACTGGGAGGGACCAGACAGTAAGTACAGTCCATTTTAAAGTACTGTACCATGAGAAGAACTACACAAATCCTCAGACAGAATAGGCAGTTTCCAGATAAAGATGTAGACCTGGGAGATGAAATATGAAACAGGTTTGCTTCTACTGTATAACATTTGGTTCCCATTATATATTGGACTTTCAAGAGTAATTCTGAACACTTAAATATTACGTAGGTAAGTCAATAAGTAAGTTACAAATGGATATAGAACTTAAACAAATCAGAGTACTGATTTGAAATATGCTTTTAATTCTCAACATAATCTCCCTGTACATTGAGGCACTTGTCCCATCGTTTCACAAGTCCCTGGAAACCAGCAGCATAAAATTCTTTGGGTTGCTGTCAGAACCAGGTGTGTTCACACGGCATGGCCTACCTCATAATGCATGACAGGTTGCATGCTTCCGCTGAATGGCCTTACAAAGTTTTCTGAGGATGTTACAGTAGCAGTTGGCATTTACAGTTTGTCCTTAAGGCTGGAATGTGGTGAGCAGTATGCCTTCATGATCCCAGAAGACTGTGAGCATCACTTTCCTGGAGGATGGTGTTACCTTAAACTTTTTTGGGCAGGTGACGCAGGATGTTTTCACTGCATTGATGCACGCTTTGTCTTGGGCTGGTAATGGTGAACCCAACTCATCACCTGTGATAATTTGGGCTAGCATATTGTGTTGTGGGGTCAGCATGAGAGGCACCCATTGTGCACAGACTTTGTGAAAACTTAATCTGTCATGCATTATGAGGTAGGCCATGTGAACATGCCTGGTTCTGACAACAGCCCAAGAATTTTATGCTGCTGGTTTTCAGGGGCTTTTTATACGATGGGACAGGTGTATATACAGGGAGATTAGGTTGAGAAATAAAAGCATTTTTCAAATCAGTACTCTTTATTTGTGTAAGTTCTATACCTGTTTGTATGACTTACCCTCATGTTTTGAACAGTGTGCAACATAAACACATTATTAAACTTGTGAAGAAAAATATAATTTGTACAGGCATATTCTTGTAGTACCACAGTTATTTTGCTTTTATAAATAAAGTTGAAAAAAATCAGTGCAAAGAACTGAGCATATTTCATGTGAAGAAATATTCACCTCTTCCTCTGCCACCCCCTACTCTCGATTCATTTCGACCTTGTGAATAACCACTAGATCCAACTCTACCTCCTCTCAGAACTGAAGGTATTTCTGATGTGGCCATTTGGATGTTCATAGCTCGACCTGTAAAGAGCCAAAAGAGTTTTGGTTAGGTTCCTATTTCATTTAATAGGGTTTCATAAACTGCACTGGTCATATAACAACAAAAATAAAAATTAAATGATGACATGTTAGGAAGAATTCAAAAGTAGGTGTGGTCTGTTAATCAATTTCAGCTGTGTTCACTCTGACTCAACAATGAATATCATTCTACTAAGTTTAATGTCACGGTAGTTGCAATGCTATGGTCTGCTACAGTGTTTCCTCTTCTGTGGACTGACACAGTCGCTGGCTTCCCACCGCGGCAGGCCGGGTTCGATTCCAGGTCTGGTCAAGTGGGATTTGTGGTGGACAAAGTGGCGCTGGGGCAGGTTTTATCCAAGTACTTCGGGTTCCCCTGCCAATCTTCATTCCACCAATTGTTCCACAATCACCCTCACCTATCATCTGGGGCTGGTACAATAGGCCAGAAGTGGCTGCAGTACAAGGGACTTAGTCCAACCCCACTAGCAATAAAAAAAACATTTCTTTTCTAGGAATATACATACCATCCAGAGGCACTCCATTGTACTGTTTCATTGCCTTAATGGCATCAGACTTCCTCTCAAATATAACATCTGCTGATCCCAACGACCGACCTGATCTGTCATAATGAACAGCAGCAGACTTCAGTGGTCCAAATTCTGCAAATAATTCCTGTAAAAATATATATTTACTTCAGGTGCTACATCTAAAATGGGAGTTTAATTCCTCCATTATGCCTTACCATTGAAGACTACACTTTAGCCCTTTCCTGTCATAAGTCTATATATAAAAGACACTGAGTATGTTCTTCCACAGACCAATGTCGATATATGATTGCTAAGTTTCTTTTGTGTTTCTCTGATGATAAGATGGCCATATGTCACTACTTGCCCCTGTATACTATACCACTGCAATCATGAATGTTTAGTCTGCATTCCCCTGCCATCTGGAAGTTATAATTTGAACTACCTGAGGAACAAATGCCATTAATATACTACTGCACATCAGTGTTAGTAACATGGCTTTGTGTTCTCATATACGTGTGCCTCCTGGCACGAAAAAACTGAAATATAATGCTGTGTGCGTTGAGAACGAAGAGTCAGTTATTGCTTTGTTAAATGAAGAACTCGATATAGACTCTTGATGATCAGATGGATTTGGAAAATGTAGAAGAAACTGCGAGTGAAGAATCCAGCAATAGAGAAACAAGTGTTATACATGTGGAAGGGTGCGAAGACGTGATGATGGGGGACAAAAACCGAAGGCATACATATTTACTAAAAATTCAGGACCATACTTTTAACCTTCTACCAGATGCAGAGCCCATGGATTATTTTAGTTTATTTTTCAATGACAAGCTTTCGAATAACATTATTATAGAGACAAACAGGTATGAGAGACATAAATTTTCGGAACTTCTATTGTAAGAAGTGCAAAAATCAACCGGCCATGTGTCCTTGGGAATGTTTTGAAAGATATCACTCTCTCAAGAACTTCAAAAAGTTTTAGTGTGGGTCCTATAGTTTATCAGCATTTTGTTGTGTGACTGTTATAAGAAGAAAGGAATATGCATATCTTTTATACTAGAGAACAGCAGACAATTTTAGCCAGTAAAACACTAAAACCTCTCTCCACACTTGATTGTCATACATCACTACAAGGTAGAGAATTTGTCTTCTTGCATGGGCTGGTAAGTGCACATTTTACTTTTTCACTTTATGCCCTTGTTGTACCAACTTTTTGAGCAAAACAGCTTGCTTAGTGGCTCTGTGGGCATTTAAAATCCCTTGACGACCTGGCTGCAGAAATTTTTCCAAACACAATGACTGGAAAGGTTAAATACTTCATACCAGTGCTAAAATATGAGTACTTTCATGATCTCTTTTAAAACATTATATCCAGAATTTGTCTGAAGGGCCTATGGAAACACACAAATCCTCTTGAGACATAACACAAATGCTTTTAAAATAATGTTTGTAAACTCTAGTTAGTAATCATGTTCCTCTGGTTTTTATCAGTAAAGATTATAGCAGAAGGCACACCTGAATGTCAGAGTCGGAAACTCCAAAATCCAGGTTCGACACAAGAAGCTTTGCAGGTCCACCAGGAGAACCTCCAATACCAAATCCACCAATCCGTCCCATTTTCTTTGTTCCAGACCCATCAAACATATCATGCTGCCACTTGCTGTTGATGTCACCCTATAACATATTAATTTATGTTCTTTTGGCTTTATTGTGCTAATGATAGGTAATGTTTAGTTGGTCATGGTTTTTAAAATGCACAAATTATGTAACATAATTTGATTTGTTTCATTCTGGTCCGTCACACTAATAATATCATGAAAAGTTAAACAGTTCCGTCTAGTGTAAAGACTTTAGATTTTATACCCAAGTGTATATTATTAATATTGTATGTATACATTTTAACTTTTAGAACATGTAATAGTGGCTTCTAACTGTATTGATGTAAAGGTGTCCCTCTGATGAGGGTCTCTGAAGACTGAAACACGTAAGGGCATTAATAACTGAAATAAGAAAAATCTACACTAGTCACACTAGATGAAACAATTTAACATTTCATGATATTGTTAGTATGACGGACTAGAATGAAGCAAATCAAATTTTTGGTGTGGTCCNGCCATGGCCTACCTTAAGAGACTATCAACATTTTATAATTATGATTCAGCTAGCTACGAGGGATAAAAGCACTTATATTTAACATAATTCAGAGGCTATCTATTCCTGTAACTGAACTGATGGTTAATAAACTGATGTCATTGTCATGTTCAGATCAACAGTAATTTACCAATAATAGAGCTGGGACAGCAACTGGCTACAGGCTCAGCCACTCAAGAGATTCACAATATTTTATAAAACCTGGAGGTTTATTATGTCCACAAAAGCCGACCAGTGTCAATCCTGAACCTAATTAATCCAGTCCATATCCCCTGCATCCTACTCTTCTATGATCCATTTATGTATTATCCTCTCATCTAGGTCTTCCTAGGAGTCTCCTTCCTTCATGTTTTGCTAACAAAAAATCTGCATGCACTCCTCTCCCATGCATGCTACATGCCCAAGATGAAAAGATGATTGTTGCTAAATTTTCTGGGCTCCAAAACCTAAATATATGACTTTTTTCGTACCTAATGTGTTATTTAACAAGCACTACCCTTTAAAATTTACATTAACCTACTTACTTCACCATGCACAAAAAGACTGCAAAATCTGGTTTTCTAAAAAAATTGTTACCACTTAATTGCAGTACAACTTATCACCATAATACAACACGAAACGTATACACACTCAAAAGGTCGGTCAGTAACTGAAGGGGAATGAAGATAACGAAAAAAGTTTTGCCAACAGAATATCGAGTTTGAAGTATATAATAAGGATTCTGAACACAGTAGGCAATTGTCACTGGAGGTTTTGGGTACTACATTATATATGCCAGCATACTTCAGTTCATTACAGCGATTATTTATAAAAATTAAACAAATATACCAACTGTAAATAATACAACTGAACCTTACATAACCTATTACAAGCACAAAATCTGATGTAAACATGCAGCTCTCATGTTAGTACTTACAGGTCAAATTTCTCAAAACTTACCCTGGAGTAGGGTGCAGAACGTGAAATACTGCCCCTACGAGGATTCCGTGCAGCTCCCAAACTTCCTCGAAGGCCACCTCTGCTGCCTCTGCGTGATAAACTTGAGCCTCTTTGTCCACCTCTTCCTCTACGACCTGCCGGTCCTCGAGCCTGTTTTGATGACTTTATTATATCATCAAGGCTCATTTCAATTTTGTCAACCATTATAAAATGAACTGCTAGCACGGATAATAGTTAATACAGAATCAAATACTCCTCAAAACATAAATCCATACAGTCCTTCACTATACCCTTCCACACCACTATATTCCAACAAATGGCGGTAGTCCCGCTTCCCGTCCAACAGAGAATGCCGGGAATTAAACAAAGACAATCGTCGTGGCGGAACGCACAGGAATTGAGGAGGTAGTATTGTAAGTTTTCAAGTTTTGAATAGTTTTGCTGTGTTAAAAACTGTTTGTTTCGTATTTACGTCAAAATATACAATTAATCACAGGTAGAACTAGTTGAAAGTTCAGCTGTTATTGCCATTATTACAAAATGAGATATTTTGTAAATATTTAAATACTTCTTAATTCGCTGATATTTAAGATGAAATCCGATTATATTGAAACATCACACTGTCTTCTCAGTATTTTTTTCACTGTTGCTTGGAAACTGATGTGAACAATGGGTATTGATCTCCATAGTTTTCGCTAAAAGTTTCCTAGTAACGAATCTTAAGAGTGAAGCATCTCCAGCCCCTGTGCACATGTCTACCCTGTCCGGCGACTCTAGGCCGAATCTTCAGGTTCTTACTGTTTTTTTACTTGAAGAAAGAAATGTATATACAAAAAGTGACCTGAAAAGTGTCCGTCCGACCCTCCATAGCACATTCTTATAAATAACCTATTCTGTCATAGCCTCCTAGCCTTCTACAATCCCATGGAACAATCTTAATTGGTTGATTCCCTTGAATTTTATTGTAATGTTGTTCGTGAAGCTTGACGGCTTTCCATAGGTGTCTTACATTGCTTTTGCATCCCTCGAGTTTATCATTAAGTTTATTGTTACCAGTACGTCGACTTCGTCCTCCTGAATAGACTTCAACTCATCTAAAGATTTCTCTAACACTTTCTGGTCGTTTGGACTGTTCCTCTTCTCTTCATTGCTTGGACTTTGTTAAGATATTTGAGCCCTGCTGTTATTTGTGGTCATCTTCCATTGCCTTCTTTGCAGGTCCCATCTGATCAGCTGGCTTGGGGCTATATTGCTTTCACGTGTCTCTTTGTTATCCCCCTCCTTTTGTCTTCTGGGCATTTTAATAGGAAGGAAGTTTCTCATATTAGGTTCAGCATACCGCCAGAAGCCTTCAGTGCTTGAAGAGAATCTAGGATTCAGCTGCTAGGGTTTTGAATATTTTTCAACAATTTTCCATGCTTCCAAAAATCTAACATTTATGTGAGCCATGATTTGGTTGATTTCCTTCTGTTTTTTAATTACTGTGAGCCTGAATGTCCCATGACTTCCCACTTCAATTTCCTGAGAGTTTCCGATCTGCGGCCACAGTATGCAGACAGGCATCGTCATGCAATAACAGGAGGCTCTTGGACAGTCTCCCTCTTCTTTTAGAGCAGACTGCAGCTTCAGCCCTCTCTGAAGCATGTCATAATAAGTTGCACTTGTGACAATTGTTCCACATTCCAGGTAGGTCTCAAGACCGGGCTCATGAGAATCCCAGAAGAAGGTCAACATCAACTTGCCTGCTGATGGATGCATCTTGAATTTCTTTGCAACAGGAGATGACGGATGCTTCCATTGTGTGCTCTTCCACTTGGTTTCTGGTGGATTGTGGTGAACCCAGGTTCCACCTCCTCTGATGACCCATTGTCACTTTCTTTGTGATAATGAGCCAAGTGGCAGGAACAAATGTCTAAGCACATGCGGTTATGCTCAGCCATCAGATCCTTGGGTCCCCACCTGGCACACACTTTATGGAACTGAAGGTTATCATGCACCACAGAATAGGGAGACCCATTTCTGATATTCAGTCAATTTGCGGTTTCATCAACCATCACTCTTCTGGTTTGAAGAATTAGTTCCATAGCTCTTTCTTCATTCTGTGCAGTTGTAGCTGTGGTTGAATGACTGTACCAGTCATGCTCATACGGCCATTTTTACATACTTCAGTCTACTCATAAACAACTCTATGAGAGAGAGTATTTGCTTCATACTGAGTACACCTGGCACACCTTCTGCCCACAAAAAATGTATCACAGTTTGTTACTTCTCCATGCAGTTTTGAAGTTCCACTGTCATGTTCACTGCTTCGTAGCAAGTGATGCACTCACTGTGAGGTCAACAGGCATGCCTTGCTGACTAGTCACATGGCACCCTGCAGAACACCACCGCCCCTCCTGCTCTTTCCATTTTCTTTGAAAATGTTGAAGTGTGGAAATTTTTTGGAGATGCCTTGTAGTTATTACTTACAAGTAAATGGAAACCTTCAAGAATAAGAATTTTCTTAAGTTCAAAGTTGACTGTGTGTTCAAATCCAGCAACACACTGAAGAACTGCAATATGAACAATGCCACTCTTCAGTGAGGCCACGCCATGGCTCAAGTGGTTAGTCGCTGGCTTCCCACCGCAGCAGCCCGGGTTTGTTCCTGCGTCCGGTCAAGTGGGATTTGTGGTGGACAAAGTGGCACTGGGGCAGGTTTTCTCTGAGTACTTTGGTTTCCCCTGCCAATCTTCATTCCACAAATTGCTCCACAATCACCCTCACCTATCATCTGGGGCTGGTATAATAGACCAGAAGTGGCCACAGTACAAGGGACTTAGTCCCACCCCACTAGCAATAAAAAAAATGCCACTGTGCAATAGCGATTGATTGAAATTTACATCAAAACTGAAGCCCAACATAATGAACTAAGAATTAAACTGCTTTCCCCATGTGCCTAATTGGTACCAGCACTATTGATAGTATTAGAGTTTAATGACCTAGAACAGCAGATGTGTAGGAGAGAGCAATAAGACAGCCAGCAGGCCTGGCACATATATCAGATAGCAGATGACAAGGTGTTCATGAAATGTGAACTGGAAATGATGTGAGATGTTGTGGTAATAACCCAGTATTTGTCTGGGGGAGGGGGGATCTCAGTCAGAACAACCTGTTCCTGGATCAGGGTTTGAATCCAGAGCTTCTGAATATAAAGCAGAAATACTAATCACTAACCAAGATTTTGGTATTTAAGTATTATGGGACATTGGACATTATTCATTACTCATTGCTTTTGTATAGTTGGTATACATAAAGTGGGAAGTGGTTGCATCATCAGAGGCATTGAGGGAAAGGATCTTATTCATTTGTGACCACTGTAAAGAATGTTTTGATCACTGGATCCAGTTTCCAAAACAATGTATATGTTAAACATACCTGAGACAGTGAACTGTGTTTGACATAATATTTGTGTAATGGTAGATCTTTAGTGAATCACAAGGTCTCTGGTACATGATTGTTTTAAAATGAAGAATTCTTATTTAATATTTTGTTTATATCTTAAATCTCCATGGTACAGAAGGGTTCATATCATGTTTTCAAAAGTTGATCTTTGCTATCCTGTATCAATCAAATGTATTCCACATCTTCACATTCTTTATTTCCAAGATGTATTAACCTTCAGCCTTTACATAGGTCTCCCAAGTAGTCTCTTCTATTCAGATTTTCGAGACCAAAATTTTGTATGCATTTCTAATTTGTCCCATGCTAAACCGTCCTTTGTGATCTTTTATGATGTGCTTTTTTTATGGTGAGGGGTTGTTAACCACATCTGATTGACTGCAGCTGCTCATTTCTACATATTTATAGCTACCTCTCATTCCATGCTGTGATGAAGGATCTCACTTAACATGAAATTTGCATACACAATTTCATAGGATTTTTTTTTTAGGTTACAGGAAACGCCTGTTTTGCCATGGCTGCTAGTGAAGGAAATCTGATTTTGGGTATTGATATTGGTACAACATCAGTGAAAGTTTGCCTTATGGATCCAAGCAGCAAACAAGTCATATCAAAACAGACTAAAGATACACAGGCTAATGTCCCAAGTGATTTGGGCTCTGAGGGAAATAAGCAGGATGTTCCTAAGATTGTATCAGCTCTCAACAGTTGTGTCTCTAGATTGCCAAAAGATCAGTTAAAACAGGTGAGGGATCTGTATCTATTTCTAATTCACTTTCATTAAAATAATGTGAAATGTTATGAAACATAATCATAAATGAGCTGTTTGCATCTTGGTATGATGTTTTTTGCAGGTTACAATGCATCTGTTTGTCTGTCAGAATTCAAGAATGGTTCTGTATTTTTCTTTTGTCACTTCTGGAGTAATTCAATACTAAGCATCAGCATCTTTGCTCTGTATCAGATTGCTAGTCCACAATTATAGTTGCCAAATTAAACAGTTTCTCCCAAGACACTTTATGATGTATTTATGCATTTGTCTGCTTTTACTTGATGTGGTACAGCAGGGGCATGTAAAATGTGAAGCCAGGTCATAAAATTATTGAATTTATGGTACCAAGAAAGAGTAGGACATAGCGAATTTCTGTGAATATTATTAGAAAAGATCCTGAATTCAGTCATTCTGTGTAAGTCTTGATTCATTAAATGAATGGTGTAGAAGATTTTGTAAATAAAGTCCTGGTCATGCAGTGAATATTGGTTACGGATGATGACATAATTAACAGAGTACTGAGTGAAATACAGGAAACTAAAATGTTAATGTTAATGTTTGGTATGCTGTGAGCATGAGGATGATTTTGGGCCCTATTTTTATGCAGATGCATTAATTCTGAGAGATATATAAGGTAGACGCTGCAAATAGATTATCAGCCTTCACTCTGTGATGTTGTTCCAGTCCCAATAGTACCATTAGCTGACCAAGTAGGAATGGTGTCAACCTGTATAGTAAGCCCAAATAGCATAAAGCTCATGGCAAGGTACAGTCATGTGATAACCTTTCTGTACCTTGCCCTCATGTAGCCATTGCAAAATGCGGACATCCACCATGGAAATGTCTGATATGGCAGACCTTGATATGCAGGAGTACTGATGCAGTATTAATCAGTCACAGCCATTGTTGCTACCAGTGAACTGCTGCCCTTTCACAGTTCTGCCCAACTGTAGCAGTGTTGCCACAATTTTGTTTCAGAACCCATATATGTGTGTGGTTTCATTCATAGGAACATCTATTTATGTAGCCTATCTCCATATGCATGTGATGGTTTCTTGAAAACAAGTAAAGAAGGAGAAATAGAGAAGAAGCTGCCAAATGATAAGCTGGAAGTTTGGTCCCCATAACCTCAGTAATTGCAGTAATTGAAAAAGATTTTCATTCTTCTGAATTGAAGCTGCATTTAGCAAGAAGAATTTATTTATTCACTTCACATCCATGGATCATTATACATGACATAGGACAAGTCAAAACACTATAATCCAATACAACGATACAGTAAGACAATACAATGATACAATAATATCTTTTTACTAGCAAATTGGACTTAAATTTGAGGAAGAAACTAGTGAAATGCTGCATTTGGAGCATAGCTCTGTATGGGGCTGAAACATGGACACTTGAGGCAGTAGATCAGAAACATCTTGAAAGTTTCAAAATGTGGTGTTGGAGAAGATCAGTTGGACCAATTATGTGAGAAATGAAGAAGTGTTAATTAGAGTCAGTGAGCAGAGGAATATCCTACACGAAATAAGAAAACGGAAGGCTAATTGGATTGGTCATGTTTTACGCAGAAACTGCCTTCTAAAAGAAGTTATTGAAGGAAAGATAGAGGGGGGTGGATAGACATGACAAGAAGATGTAAGAAGATGCTGGATGACCTTGGGGACAGAAGAGGGTACTGCCATTTGAAGGAGAAAGCTCTAGATTGCATTAAGTGGAGGAATTATTTTGGAAGAGACTGTGGACCTGTCATCTGACAGATTACTGATGATGATGATGATGATGATGATGATGATGACACTCAGCAATTGAAGCATGTCTTGAGAAGTATCTTTAATGATTATGAAATGAGCAATTTGTTGATGTAAACTCATTGTTTAATGTTGTATGTTTAAATGAACTTTGAATATTTTTACAATGTTGTCTCACTTCTGAACAGTTAAAAAAATCAGGCATCCAGTTACTGTTGAAAAACTTTCACAAGTCAAAAATGAAGCTCCAGAATGCAACACTCAGTGCACACAAAATTTTCTTCAAATTGTGCATTTGATATTATTTGGCACTCAACTACCATATAAACATGCTACTCATGTACTCATAAAAAAAAGATAGAGCTATCCCTGTAACAAGCCATGAAGTTTCAGAAGGTTGTGAGACATCGTGGCTCCAACATTTTCTAGACAGTCAGCTCACATATGGCGGTAAGGTTGTCAGCCTTACGCACTGGGTGCCCTTAACCCCCAAGAAGATACTTATATGCTCAACTCTCGATTATCCGGGATAATGGTGGGGATGGAAATCACAATTAATCAAAAACCCGGTTAAGACAAATTTTATTAAAAGTAGTATTGTAATACTGTACCTTCATAATACTATAGGCCTACCTGTATTTAAATTTATTCAGCCTCATTTTTATGTCATTTCATGGCCTATTTAATACTTTTTTACATTACACTGAAGTATGAATTAGTTATTTCAGTCACAGTGTTCAACAACATCCAACACTTTTTACGAATATTTACACTTAACACTTAAAAAAAAATTAATATTGTCGTTTGCTTTTTTGTGGCATTTTCCTTTTTACGGATATCCGTACGAAGCCTAAGTAATATTAGCTTGTCACTTAATAAACTGTTCTCTTCACTCTCAAGATAGTCCAGTAAGGATTCCAAATGATTAAGAGCAGCACCATGTGATATTTTCTTACTAGCAGCACTGTCCATCTCTTCCTCATTCTCACTTTCTTCCTGCTCTTCTGGCTGCACCCCCACCGAACTTACGATTTCATCACTGCTTAAAATTTTGAAGCCCAGCTCACATGAGTTTATGTTGAATACTTAACACAACATGCTTCCTTTTACACCCTGACATTTTGTTAACGCACTTGAAGATCGATACAAAGAGACTAACTGGGGTGGTGTATCTGTCCTTGAAACTTTCCACAAATCCTTGCATTTTTCACCCCTACCCTAGAACACTGTGTTAGCATAACGGGACCAAAAAATGCAGAGCTCAGTTCACACTAGTGCGAAAATAATGTTACAACTCACCATGTGAAACAAAAGTGAATGAATATTAAAAAACATATAAGCCTCAAAAAAGCCCCGGGTAAGCCGCAAACTGGTTTATCCACCCCCGGATAATTGAGAGTTGAGCGTATAATCATACAGTCGTTAATTATCCTAGTCCCATGGTCATCTATGCATGGGTAAGAAAGGGTGGGTAATTTTCTGGAATATCTTACTCAGAACTTCATTTTACATTGTTACTCCTTCCCTGTACATATTACCAGCATGGCTGTATGTTCATATACTGTATTTGTTCCTTATGGTTTATTTAATGATTGTGTCAGTAGCCCAGACTATGTATGAGCGTAGAATGATAGGGCAGTTAGTGAATAATGCATTTGAAACCATGTGAAAGGAAGTGATTACTGCCAGATTTGAGGAATTTTTCCAGTATTTACCTGGAGGAGGGACTGCAAAAAACCATGAAACCACCTAGTCTGGATAGCCAGTCTCTGGACTGAGGTTTGAACCCAAGACTCCTGAATATGAAGCAGGTGTTCCACCCATTTGACCACAATGTTCTGTATGCTCATGTTATAACATCTGTTATACAGAGTAACTGAAATGAGCAGTTTAGTGTGTTAGCAACCAATTAGACTTGTGTACAGTGGGTTATCAATTTTGCTGAGTTACTGGCTGTCCTCATTGAAGTTTTTCTTGGTTTTCCCAAGCCTCTCCACACAAATTTCTTGGATTTTTTTTTAAATATACCATGCTAATCAAATGCTTAATTATTCAAAATTCTTTATTTTATTCAAACTTATATATGTTTCAAATAAAGCTTGTTTGGTGTTGCAGTTCTTTTGTTCACATCATTTGTGTGGTGGCTTTCATGCATTGTGTGTTTATATATTTTAAATGTCTTTCAACTTTTATGCTGTAAACTCTGCTAATGAAATTGGAAGTGAAGCAGATTAACAGAAATAAACTTGTGGGGACTGTATGGTTAATTTAGAAGGTGTTGTTTCATTGTTTCTTAGGTGGGGAAGATTGGTATTTGTGGCCAGATGCATGGTGTTATGTTGTGGTCTAACAAGGAAGATAAGAAAGCTTGGGACTGCATTGAATCTTACATGGGCTGTAGGTTTGAGATTCCCAAAGAAAATGTATCAGCTTTATATACTTGGCAGGACACACGCTGTGAGCGATCATTCCTTGATACACTCCCTGTGCCCCATTGTCATCTCCCAACATATTCAGGTTATGGATGTGCAACTCTCTTCTGGATTATGAAGAACAGGTGAGGTACACCATTATCACTGATAAGGCTTGCTCCCAGTTAGTTTCTTCCTTGATGCTCTCCCAGCCCTTTTATGAGACTTGATTAGTGTTTAGATGGATCCCCACTTGTTAATGCCACATCAGCAACATTAGTTATGATGTTGACTTCAGTGTGTGACCATTTGAAATTCACCATACACCACTGTTATGTTTGGATAGTTCTGAGCAACCAGAATTTGTGGCTGTTTGCTGTATTCCTGACCAGTCACAATCCATGTCTACCTGTTATATTTCCTACATAAATCTTCTGATGCTTATTGTTTGCCTACTTTCCTTATTTTGAAAAAAAAATAGAAGTAGGCTTATGAGATTGCCTTCCTGTCCATGTGTGTCTGTCCACCCATATTAACTTTTGAATGTCTGAGCCATTCTTTATGAAACTTGGTATGTACATCATGGCACCTAACCCAATCTCAACGGCATAATTCATAAATCTGTTCCATCAGTGATAACAACATTACAGCCTCTCAGATTTCTGAGGCAGAACCTTAATATTGCTTGAATGCCTGCATCAGTCTTAATGAAACTCGGTAAATATATTATACCATGTGAAGCCATCTCAGCGCCATACTCCGTAAGTCTCTTTGGTCAGTAGTCGTTACATTACAGCCTCTCAAATTGTGGCGGTAATAACCGTGGTGTTACTTAAATGCCAGAACCAATTGTCATGGAACTTGGTACGTATATCATGGCACTTGACCCAATTTCAACAGCACACTTGACTAATCCCTACCCATAATAATACCAGCTTTACAAACTTTCATATATCATGCCACCTGAGGCCATTTTAGTGGCACACCTCATTAAACCCATCAATAGTACCAATATTACAGGCTTTCAAATTTCTTCAGCAAAACCTTAAAATTCCTTCAACACCTGTGCCAGTCTGCATGAAACTTGGTATATTATGTCAAGCCACATGAAGCCATCTCAGTGGCATACTTCCTACATCTTTTTGATCTCTAATACAAACATTAAAGCCTCTTAAATTATTCTGATTATAGCTGTAATGTTACTTAAATGCCTGAAGTGATCACCATGGAACTTGGTACGTATATCATGCCACCTGAGCTCTTTTCAACGGGGCACTTCATAATTTCTTTCCTTCACTAATACCAACAATATAGCCTCTCAAATTTCTGAGGCAAAACCTTAATATTGCTCGAATGTGTTCATGAAACTTGGTAATATTGTCATGCCACATGCAGCCATCTCAATGGTGCACTTCATAAATTCCTTCCATCAGTAATACCAACATTGCAGCCTTTCATATTTCTGAGACAACCTTAATATTGCTTGAATGCGTGTACCAGTTATCATGAAACTTGGTACATATATCATGCCACCTGTGGCCATGTCAGTGGTGCACATCATAAATACCTCTCATCACAAATACCAACACTGTAGCATCTCGAATTATTGAGGTAATACCCTTAATATTACTTAAATGCCTGTCATGAGACTTTGTATGTATATCTTGTCACCTGAAATCATCTCAACAGCATACTTAATGAATCCCTTTCAGTAGTAGTACCAGCATTACAACCTTTCAAATTGTCTAGGTAATAAATAACCTTAATATTACCTAAATGGCTAAACCAATCTTCATGAAACTTGGTATGCATGTCATGCCATCTGAGGCCCTCTCAACGGTGTACCTCACAAATCAGTCCCATCAGTAGGCGATTATTTCTACCCAAACTTCTTGTTTAACATAAATAGTCAAGGCTTGCTCATCCTAGTCATTTACATTTATTGGTTGTTAGGACCATGCCAAACCCACAAGCTAGGGTACAGTTCGATGTCAATTGTCTGCAAGTGCCAGCAAGACTATTTGTAACAGAAACGAGGTAATAGGAGAATGAGCAAAAGTACATATTGAAAAGTGTCAACAGATATTGATGAAATATTCGTGGGTGACCAGCCATGTTAGTTGACTTGACTGGTCTCCCAAGATTTCATCAGTCACTGTAAATTCTTAAAAAGTTTTATATCAACCTAATATTTTTGGCATGAATAAATCAAACTCAGATGGCAACTCATGGGGCAATGAAGAAATGGCTGTAAATTATTGTTAGGAATACCTCATGGAAGTGACTGTAATGGAGACCTAGGCACAGGTGGGAGTATAATTCTGAAGTGGGTCTTAAAGAAAGAAGCTGTGTAGATAGGATGGTGGTTTAGGGTATTATTATTTATTATTATTATTATTATTATTATTATTATTATTATTATTATTATTATTATTGGAGGGGGTGGGTTTCCCCATGCACCGCGACCAGTGGTCTGTTGTACTTCCCCCTGTGATATTCTACCAGTCTCTATAGCCTACCTGTATTGGTGCATGCCATCAGTCCCGACTCAGCCAGCGAGTTCGGCCTCTACTGGCTCAGCGGTATCTAGATGCTTCCCCCATCTACCAGAGGCGTTAGAGACTATTGTTGGGCGGGAAATGTCCTTATAAATTTGGCTCAGAAGCCTCCTTGAGACATGAGGTTCTTTTATGTGCCGTAAAGCTACAACACGGGACCCATGGCTTAAAGTCCCTCCCGGAGGACTTGTTCCCTGAATTTTTCCGCCCTTAAAAATTCCACGACCTCTGCCGGGTTTGAACCCGTGTACCTTGAGTCACGAGGTGGGAACGTTACCCCTAGACTACGGAGGCTGCTGTGGTTTATGGTAAGATCCAGTGGTGATTTGTTGTGAACGTCAGAATATCTGGACATCATGAATGCAGGGAATTTCTTAACTATGTGAATAGCTATGAACTGCTTGAGGAAGACCATGTACTCTCTTGCTTTTGATGTAAATAGCTACACCATTGGTCTTAAAACAGATGCTACTTAACTTATATTTTAGAGGATCTTTTGGATCTTGAGTCTTGATTACTTTCACCATTAATGAATGAAAATGTAAGTATCAGTCGTCTTTGAGTTAGCAATTAGTTATCCTGTTGTCAGAATTTAGAGAAGCATGCAATATTGTGTTCCATGCCAGTACTTGTATTTCTTTGCTTATTGTATTGATGGCTTATGCAGCTGAAGTCTGTACAGGTTTCAGAATCTTCTTTCTAGCATCTTATTGGTCTTACTCTTACTCCTTGCCTTATAGATTTATAATTATGTTCAACTACTTGTCTTCACCCATTCTGTCTACATGAACTTTTCATTTATTCCTAGTGTGTTTTAAATTATATTATTGATCTAAAGCTTATCACATATTTTGTCTTCTTTTGCAGCTTTGTCTCTATGATTCCATGTCCTTGTCTTTCTATCATATTTCAACAATAGTTTATTCAGTGTTTTATGTAATTTAAATATGGATTTCTTACTCTTAAATCTCAGTTTCTCTCTAAAGTTGTGTGTCTCAGCCAGTAGTCCTACAGCTTAATTTGTCACCAGTCCACTAATACTGGTCAGCAGCTTATGTATGTTTTACCACAGTTTGGAAAGTTGTTATTCTAAACACTATTGCTTCTTTTTGTTCTTTGTTTCCTTTGGGAACCAGTACTACATCTTTGTGCAGGAGTCTCACTATGTGAGACAGCTGTGGGTACATTGCATTCCACTGTATACTGACTTGACAACATCTTATTTCACATGTCTTCTTTCACAGTTACTAATTGCTGATGATCGGTGTGGACCACAATGGCCTCAGTGGTCTAGTGGTCAGAGTTCCTGGCTGCAGATGCAGAGGTCCAGGTTCAATTCCTGGCTCTACCAGATTTTCTGAGAAGTAGTGGGTCTGGAATGGGGTCCACTCAGCCTTGTAAGGATAGCAGCTCCAGTGTAGAAAACCAAAATTAACAGCCTTGTGGCTTCATTGTGCTGACCACGTGACACCCTCTATCCACTAAAGTTGGCACTAACTTCGCCAACAAGCAGCGGTCACTCGGTTGGTATCGGTTGCTTGCGGACTAAAACCAAAGAGTTTGTTTTTGTTTTGTTTGTTTGATGATCAGTGTGGCTTATGAAATTTTAGTTTTAATGCCACATAAAGGCATTTAGTATTATATTGTAAATAAATATATGTAGGTGTGCTTGTAATAATTATATATATGGACAATAAGAGAGCCTACTGTCCTTAAGAAATCCATTGTTGTTTTACCAGTCTACAAATTAGGGCAGATTGAGAACCGCTGTTTTATGATATGTATTTCTTATATTTTTCTGTTGCTGTTAAATGTTTTAAAACAAGACATCGCTATTTGAGCTTTATATATATTTGTCAGAACAGTTTGGTCCATAACAGTGGCAATGTTATTACCATCAATATAACTATGTTTCTTTATGTGTCTCAAGTCCTACATGTTTTCTGTTGTCAGTCACCGTTTGAAAGATTTCTTGACTTGGAAGAATACAGGAGGTGGAAGGTTGAATTTTTTCCGTATAAGAATTGTAACGATTCTCTGAAATTTTGTGACAGTTTTTAATTAATTACAATCATGTTGGACATTGTTCATTGACTGAGTTATGTAAATGAAAATGATGATTCTGAAGTTGACTCTTTCTTGATCTTTAGTTATTGTTGTCATTATATTGGTAGATGGATTTTATTCAGTTTGATCTGTATGGGTAGAATTAAATGTGTAATTCTTTAAAAACTAATGTTTATTTTATTAACATTAAATTAAGTATTTAGATGATTCAGGGATTTATAAAATAGAGAAAATGAACTTGGCCTGGTGAACTAGTGGGAAAAACTGATAACTAGTAATACAGTTTGGTAGTTCCTTATTTAACCCATATTTCTGTACTACAGACCCAACAAACTGAAACACTATAATAGAGCTGGAACAGTGCAGGACTTTGCTGTGGCAATGCTCTGTAACTTGGACCATCCCGTCATGTCGATTCAGAATGCAGCAGGGTGGGGTTACTTTAACACCTGTGTGGCAGAGTGGAATTCTGAGGTTCTGCAAGAGGCAGACTTTCCAACACATTTCTTACCACATGTTGTGAAATCAGGTGCAATAGCTGGAACTCTGGATCATCCGTGGTATGGAATCCCTAGAGGAACTCCAGTGGGTAATGTGAACATTATCATAGTAGTGGCAGTATTATTAATAGTGTTGGTGGTGGTAGTAATTGTAGCAGCAGCAGCATTCAGTTTTGGCATTGGCTGTAGTACTAAAATAGCTGTAAGAACAGTAATAATAATGGCATTATATTAGTAGTAGCAGCAGCACTATATTTGTGTGTCAAAGCATATCTGGAAGCATCAGATTCACTATTGTGACTGGATAATGTCTTCTTTCCACTAGGCATAGTGGTAGAAGTAAAACGCAAGTGAGGGATGTGAAATTTGTAAAAAATGTAATGGGGTAAAACAAAAAGCTGATGGGAGCTTAGAGCTTAAAAGAGATAGAAATGAAATGATTACATTGCTGTGGGCATTTTAAATGAATGGATGTAAATAGAATGCCTCGAAGACATGCGGAATTCCAGGCGACATGCCACATACCGAAAGAATGAGCCAGATCAAATGATGTATTTAAGGGGTTAGGAATATCAAAAGTAACATTAACTGGGGTAATTCAATTAGTGTAGAAACTGAATATGGGCTTGTTGACCAGAGTTTGATTCTGATTGAAGACTATTTCCCAGGTGTACGTAAAGTGGCCGAAGCTAGAAGCTGACCATTCCTGTCCTTTTGGTACTGAGATAAAGAATACATGGAGCTGTTCCTGCTGTTCACATGTATCTCAATCGTTGAAGCCTGTTCTGAGGTTCTGAAATAAAATCGATATTTCCATCCACATCTAATTCTTCCATTATCACTTTTCTCCTGCACTGTCATTTTAGGAATCTTGTTTTCATGCATTCTCTTTACATCTTGCCACAAATTTCTCTACATTCTAGAGTATAGCAAGAAGTTCTGGGAAGAACTGATTGCCTACTTTTCTTTCACTACATGTTTAGTATTTGATATGACAGACCACATAGAAAACACTGCGTCCAACAGTTCCTTTATTGTTGTCTGTGTACACAGTGTGTCCAGGATTCGTTAGCACTCATTTTTTAAAATTTTGCCCTGCAATGCCATCTGTTGGTGAGTTGTGGCATTAAGATTATTGAAGTTTCAGCTGTGGCTGTCTGTAATTTCAGAGCGCAAGCATTGCTGCATCATGTGTTCTGACCTTGAATTTAACAGTACTCTTCTGATGCTCATTGGAAAATGACGGTTGAACAGAGAGGCAACATCAAATTTTGTTTGAAGTTAGGCAGAACAGCTGGAGAAGCATATGAAATGATGAAAAGTGTGTATGATAGTGATTGTTTGAGTCGCTCGGACATTTTTCAATGGTATGCTGTATTTTTTGATGGCAGGGAGGACATTGAAGATGCTCGATGTGCATCAAAGCCGAGAACAAGTCGCACTGAAGAAAATGTGAAGAAAGTGACTGAAATCCTTGCATCAGACAGATGTGTTTCTGTAAGACTCATCAAGGAGCTTATGGGAATACCAAAAAGTACTGTGCATCAAATTTTGACCGAGGATTTGGGCAAATGGAAGGTCTGTGCACGGTTTGTACCACACATGCTGTCAGGCGATGAAAAACATGCCAGAGTGGAACACTGCAAAGACATGATACGTTCGGCCCAAAGTGATACAAAATTTACAAAATCGATTGTTACTAGTGACGAGACATTGTGTTTTCAATATGAGCCTCTCACAAAGTGGCAGAGTGCAGCGAGGTTGAGCCCAAAGAAGCCAAAACCAAGAAAGTGTGCATGCAAAAAGAGTCTAGTAAAGACACTGCTAACCGTTTTCTTCAATTCCAAAGGAATCATTCACAAGGCATTTCTGCCAGAAGGTCAAACAGTGAATTCTAATTATTATCTCGGAGTCCTCAATCGTTTGTGGGCGAGAATTCTTCGAATTCAACCTGATTATCTAGAGCAAGGTTCCTGGTTGCTCCTCCACGACAATGCCCCACCCCACAAATCGTAGATAGTGCGTGATTATGTGTCCAGAAAAGGGATCATAGCCCTTGATCATCCTCTGTATTCGCCAGATTTGGCTCCAGCAGATTTCTGGTTGTTCCCAAAAGTTAAGTTGGCGATGAAAGGAGAGCGTCACGACACCATCCAGGACATCCAGAGGGAATGTACCGCAGTTTTAAAAGCAATTCCACAAAAGGAGTACAGTGACTGTTTTCAAAAACTTTTTCAGTCGATTTAAGCTATGTATTGATTCAGAAGGAGACTATTTTGAATAAAAAGAGTAAAATTTTGAAAATAATTCATGTCTTGTATTTTTAATGAACACAGTCCTAACAGAATCTGGACACACTATGTATTCATTACTACAGGAATATGTTTAAGAAGCCATTGCCTAGGATGTTAGAGGATGGGCACAGACACACAGACAGCAAGGTGACCATGTAAGACTCCTTCTGTTTTTTTCAAAATGAGGAAGGTAGGATAAAAATAATATATGGTCTTCCTCCAGGTAAGATATTGAAACTACTGGCTGGCAAACAATATACCATGGTTAAAGGATGAACTAATCTCCCAACACTGCTTCTAGCAGAGAATTTAACAATGAAAGAGGAACTGTTGTGAATGTGTAAATAAAGAAATGTACAAACAAAACAAAAGACAAAGTAAAAAGATGTATGTAAACAAATATCAAATGATAGTTGGCATAATATATGATATAATTCATAATATGCAATTAGTATATTTGTTTAAATCTTTCATTTGACTGATTATCTTAAAGGGTCTTTATTCACACATGAATGAAGTTCCTTCTTTCACTACCTGACACTCTTTGATTGTGCCAGTGTTGGGAGATATTTTCTTCTTTCACCATTATGTGCTCTTCACTAGCAGGCTATGTGTGACAAATTACTGTAATGGGAATAAGTAGTAATGGAAATTGCACAGAGAAGGGGAGCATATAATTATTAATTCTGTACTTCTTGCTAGCCTGACTAAGTAGACTGAAGTGTTTTAAGGGCAGTAAGACTCGTAAGTTCTTCCCAGAACTTTTTGGTTACTAGTACATTGTCATTTCTGTTTGTAATTTGCCATCTGTTGTTTCTTATTTCTGCTATCTGTCTGGCAGAGTTACTCTTCAAAACACTGTTGTAATTAATATATAAAATAGAAATTCAGACCACATTATGTAAAGTGCTTTTGACTTAACAATTTGCTGGCATTCTGGCATGAAACATTTAATAGTGAAGGTGTTAGTATTAAATCTGTTTCTTATTCTTGTTAGGGTGGCAATAGATACAGATGTCAAAGGACTGACTTTTACCCACAGGGGCAGCATTGGGAGATCTGCAGTGTTCAGTGTTAGCCACAATGCAGAAGGCAGATGATGCTGTTCTGAACCTTTCAACTTCAGCACAACTTGCATTTGTTATGCCTCCATTCTTTGAACCTATCAAAAATCCAGGTATGACTGTGCAGTTGGGTCTGCTTTTTCTATAGATATCTTGTTCAAAATTTAATTTCAGATATGGTGCAGTATATAGTATTTAAAAAATTATGTAAAATTGGCTGTTCTTTACCCATTATTTGGGCTTATGACTACTGCACTGACATGTGCAGAATTAGTTCTGCTTATCTTAGGGGCAACGTATTTGAAGGTGAAGAGTTCTTTATGTCACTTTAAGGGATAATGTTTGTCTGGGGTCCACCAGATCAACATCAGACGAAATTTCAGTCTGTTCTAATTTGTAGCCAAATGTGAATTATCTAATTGATAAGGATTTTAGTTAGATTGTCTATTTGGTATCAGATGAGGGAAGTTCTGTTTTGTGATTAAAAATTCTTCTATGTTGTCTGACAATAAAGTTCGCGAACTCATTGTGGTAAAAGTGCTACATACCTCTTTGCTATATCACTGTGGTTGCCTTGAAAGTAGTACCCTTGGGAAGCTATGCACTGATGCCAGAGCCCAGTCCACCCTACAAAACAATTTTTGAACTGGTTTTATGGAATGGCTTTCAGAGTTGCCAGTGTATTACTCCTGATGTAATCAGTGTCATCAAAATGCCTCAATAAAAAGTCAATGGCGCCTAGATCCGGTGAATGGAAAGGGGTGGGGTGTTCCAGCACAGTTACTTGTTTACTAGCTACAAACTCCCTCAGAGGCAGTGCCATGTGAGCAGGTCCTTTGGGACCATTTTTGCACACACCTTCCTCATGTCAGGATCTTCAGTTAAGATTTTCCTAACTGTTTCTTTGTTGATGTTTGCTTGCTCTGCTATGCTGACAGTCGGCTGATGATTTTCACACACAGTTAAGCAAGCTTCTGGAATGTTTTCTTCAGTTCTTCTTGTTGCTGGCCATTGTGAACTCTCTTCATCAGTGGCACTTTCTCTTCTCTCAGAAAATGCGTCACCCACTTGTAAACTGCTGTTTTCTTCATAGCATTATCCCCATAAATTTGCACTAACATCTCTCTGATCTCGTTTCTACTCTTGCCAAGTTTAACAAGAAATTTAATTCAAGGTCCGACATTCTCATAATGGCACACAAAACACACTCAGACAATAATAGACGCCACTCAGAAAAAGACTGCCATAGATCAACAACAACATAGGTGTGTAATGCTGATATGTCAACATCATCAAATGATACTGTGGTTCCTGTCCACTGCTGCCACGGTAAGCACATGGTGGAGATGTGTTATCACTACTGCTTTTCAACTTTGCTTTAGAATATGCCATTAGGAATGTCCAGGAAAACCAGATGGGACTGAAATTAAATTGGACACATCAACTGTGCTTCTGTGCTGATGATGTGAAATCTACTGGGTATTATATAGATACCATAAAGAAAAACACGCAAACTTTAATTAACGCTAGTAAGGAGGTTGGCCTAGAAGTAAACACAGAGAAAAACTAAGTATATGTTTTTATCTCGTCACCAAAATGCAGGGCATAAAGATAGGTAAGAGATGTTTTGGAAATCTGGCACAGTCCCGATTTTGGGAATGATGATAACAAATGTAAACCTGATTCAGGAGGAAATTAAGAGGAGATCGAATTCGGGTAATGCTTGCTACCATTCAGTCCAGAACCTTTTGTCTTCTCATCTGCTGTCCAAAAACATAAAAATTAGAATATGCAAAACCACAATTTTGCCTGTGGTTCTGTATGGGTGTGAAACTTGGTCTCTGACTACCATCACTTATTATGGGCGTTTTAACATAGGTGTGCAGTTGGACGAAACATAGATGTCGAACCCCCGCGAACGATTTAAATCCCTTGACGAAACATACACGTCAAACCGCACTGAGTGGTTAATTATTGACCAGCAGTGGTCTACCAAACAACAATCAATTTTGTTTCCAAGGTAATATAGTCAGGCTTAATCATATATCAGAATGTAAGTGCAGTGTCTTTGCACCATTTTTTTATATACAGTGGAACCTCGCTTAACGAGCACCTCTCATAACGAGTAATTCGCATAACGAGCAGAACAAATTGTAAAATTGTCTTGCTTAACAAGTGACGTTTCACATAACGAGTGACGAGAGAGGAAGTCCAGGATCGTGCGCTTGCTACATCTGTCTGTGTTTAGCACTCGTTCCGTTAGCATCTTATTGTTGCTTATGATCACACGTTTTTCAAACTTGTGTTCAGACATATTATTTGTGATTTCTTTTTGTGCAAAGTTTAATAACCCTTGCAAAGATGTCCCCGAAGAAAAAGCCTCAAAAGACAGCCATAAGAGAATAAAAATAACCGTAGAAATGAAATGTAAGATGATCGAAAAAGCATAGGAAGGGGTTACCAAGAGAACCCTTACTTCTGCTTGGAAGAAGCTTTGGCCGGAGAGTGTTGTCGAATGTGACTTTGAGGGGTTTGAGATAGTACCTGTGGAGCCTGTAGTCAATGAGATTGTGTCTTTGGCCAAGATCATGTGGCTGGAGGTGGATAACAATGATATCGATGAGCTTGTGGAAGAGCACAGCCAAGAGCTGACCACCGAAGAGCTTATGGAGTTGCATTGTGTTTCACAGCAAGAAGTTTTGGAGGAGAGTTTGTCAGAGGAGGAGGAGGTAACAGCAAAGCAACAATCTTGTGGCACAATAAGAGAAATGCTGAAAGCATGGGAGACTGTTGCATCGTACATTGAGAAGTATCACCCTAATAAAGCAGTGGCTATGCGCGCTACAAATTTATTTAATGATAATGCTGTGTCGCATTTTCACTAAATTTTGAAGTGTCGGCAAAAACAAATGTCTCTAGACAGCTTTCTAGTAAAAAAGAATTAGATATGTATCATAAATAATAAACTAATTATTTCAATTTTTTTTCCTGCAAATCGAATTTGCATTCAAGGTTGGTTCATTCCGCATGGAAGAAAAGATGAAGATGATTCACGCTCCTTAACAATGTATATATAATGGAACGCATTATCGTATTTTACATTAATTTATATGGGAAAAATTGTTTCGTTTAACGAGTGTTTCGTGTTACGAGTAAGATTCTGGAACGAATTATGCGAGGTTCCACTGTATTTTGCTATAAAATGTGATGTATTTTAATGCATTTTGTTGTGTCTAGTTGTAATGCCAGTGGAATACTTTCCATATTTTGATGGGAAGTATCTGGCAGTCGCTGCATCTCTCAATGGTGGCAATGCTTTGGCAGCATTTGTTCGTATGGTACAACAGTGGACTCTCGAACTTGGCTTTAATGTAACACAATGTGAGTATGAACTGTTTTGTTACTAAGAAAGTATAATGAAAAGGTAATAGGATGTTCAGGGAAGAACTTACTATGTCTAATTTCCTTAATATCATTGTTTTGGCTTAGCAAGAACCTTAATTTTATAATTACACAATTCAGTCATGGATATGTATACTAATTTAAAAAAAATTCTTAATGTGTTAAATCTGCACAATATAATTTTTAAATTTTGCACCATTTTTGTATTTGTAGTTCTTGGCACAAAAATGTTTCATGCAGATTGTATACAGGTGTCCCAGGTGTTTGGTGCATTACTTCACAAGCGTACTGAGGGTTCCCAATAGGACAACTTTGAAATAGGAACCCATGTCCGCAAACATAAAATAGCGCTAGGGTGGCATTTAATATCATTTTGTTTAAACTTGGCTTCTCAATGTTGAAGAGCATGCACAGGCGTGTTACCCCCTCCAAATTCTTAAGACTCACCTGGTAGAGTAGATACTGGAATTGATGCCCTCCATTTTCAATGCATGCGATACATCGATGAAATAAACTTTGGTGCACCCTTTCAAATATTCCGGGTGTCTCACGGATCATGTCACATGCAACAGAATTCCGGCCAACAGCTCAAATTCATTATCCACAGGCATGTCGTAAATCAGGCTTTTCACATGGCCCCAAATGAAATAGTCCAGAAGTGTCAAGTCTGGGGATCGGGGTGGCCAAGGCACTAGGCCTCCTCTTCCTATCCAACAACCATGAAAAGCAGCATGCAGGTAGTCTCGTGATACAATGCTGAAATGTACTCATTCTCTGTCATGCTGTATCCACATTTGCCTCCGCACAATCAGTGGCACATCTTCTAGCAAAGTCAGAAGGATACGTTCCAGGAATACCTTGTAAAAGGGCCCATTGAGTTGCAGTGGTAGGAACAAAGGCCCAATCAAGTGATCGCCAATGATGCCCACCCAGACATTGACAGAAAATTGCGCTTGGTGGTAACCAACTACAGTAACATTGGTGTTTTTGTCAGCCCAAATGTGGCTGTTTCGACAGTTGAACCAGCCATCCCTTGTAAACTGCACTTTGTCTGTGAATAACACGTGATTCAGGAAGTTGGGCTGATGTAAACACTGGTTCAGTATCTACTGAAAAAATTGAACTCATGGTACGAAGTCAGCTGGACCTACGTCGTGTACTTGGGTTGGATGATACAGATAAAGTTGTTTGTCATGCAGGATCCTCCAACCACTTGATTTTGATGTCCCCAGAATCTTGGCAATGGCACGAGTGCTGGTGGATGGCTGTTCCTCTGTGCAATGCAGTTCGACATTGAGGCACCAAGTTTAAACAAAATGATTTTAAATGCTGCCCTAGCACTGCTATTTTACGTTTGCGGACATGAGTCCCTATTTCAAAGTTATTCTATAGGGAACTCTCAGTACACTCCTGAAGTATGGCACCAAACTCCTGGGACACCCTGTATATGTTAAAGATATACACTCAAGTGTTAAAGGTCATGGGATAGCAGTATGTAAATTTATTTTTAAGTGGCACCACCATCCCTTGACAGCTTAGGAATGCCCAGAGCAGTATCAGTTGTGAGGTGTTCTCTCGTGAGTCAGGTTGAACCCCGGCCAGTCTGCTCATGGCAAGCTGATGTGAATTATCGGAGTTTGAACAGGGCATGATATTGGGTGCCAGGTGGATGGGACATTCCATTTCCAAAGTTGTGCGGTCATTCAACATTCCTTGATCCACGGTGTCACGTGTGTACTGGGAATACCTTGTGGAAGGCATTTCCACCCAGTGTGGACAGTGCAGTCGCCAACCACAGGTGCTTAATGATCGTGACCAGTGGCATCTAGGTAGAATTGTCCGTGGTAACAGACAAGTGACACTGGCTGAAATCACATCCACATTCAATGCAGGAGGTACCCGACACATATCCAGCAGGTCAGTGCAGTGTTCTTTAGCTTCTATGGGATATGGGAGCAGAAGACCGACCAGAGTGCCTCTGTTAACACCACGACACTGGACACAGTGCCTCACCTGGGCTTGTGATGTCGCTAATTGGACCCTGGAGGATTGGCAACATGTGGCATGGTCCGATGAGTCACAGTACCAGCTGTTTCAGGCGGATGGTAGGGTTTGGGTGTGGCGCAGACCCCATGAAACCATGGTCCCCAGTTGTCAACAAGGCACCATGCAGGCTGGTGGTGGTTCCATACTGGTGTGGGGTGTGTTCATGTGGCATGAGTTGGGTCCGCTCGTCCACCTAAACACATCATTGACCAGTGACCGCTATGTTATACTGCTTGGTGACCATTTGCAGCCCTTCATGGACTTCATGTACCCCCACAACGATGGCATATTCCAGCAGGACAGTGCACCGTGTCATTGGGCCGGAGTTGTCCAGAATTGGTTCGAGGAGCATTCTAGAGAGTTCCGACGAATGGTGTGGCCACCACGTTCACCCGACACGAACCCAATCAAGCATTTATGAGACGTGGTGGAGAGGTCCATTCGCACCCAAAATCCTGTACCTACAAATACCAGGGAGCTGTGGGCGGCTATCCAGACGTCATGGCTCAACATCTCTCCAGAGGTCTTCCATCCACTTGTGGAATCGATGCCACATCGAGTTGCTGCACTTCGCCGGGCTAGAGGGGGTCCTACACGATACTAGGTACCTATCCCATGACTTTTGGCACTTCAGTGTATATCTCCATACAGATTTCAGAGGTTACCTTCACTTGTTAAATGACAGTCATGAATCAGGTGCAGGTCTTTTTGTACATAAGAGAATCATGTCAACAGTTAAGAGAGTAGATTTAGTTGTTAGTGATAGGATGTTGTATGTAACAGTAAGAGGTTGCTGGTGTTTAGCTGCAGGGTAATGGGCCAGATGAGGAAGGGATGTTCTGGAAACATAAAAAATCTTGTAAGAGGGAGATATTTGAGGGAAGTTATCAGTTTTAGGTGATCTGTTTAAGGGAAGAATTTATAAAAGATCAGGGTTTGGAAATTATCACTGCTGTTGTTCATGAGTAATATATGATGACTAAAAGGAAGTCTCTCTTCATCCATGTGAATGAGAATAAAATGTATGGATTTTGCATGTATTATATTGGCAACTCTGATATGTATGATGTTAAATTCGGCAGCCAAAATATGGGACACAGTTATGAGCCTGGGAGAACAGGACTCCGCTGTATCATCCTTACGGGTTGTGCCAACTTTGCTGGGAGAACGTCATACACCTGAACAGAATGCATCCATTTTAAATGTTGATCCAGGTACCTTAGGTTTGGGCCAGGTATTTCGAGCTGTATGCTCTGGAATCATAGAAAATTTACACAGGTAAGTGATGAATCATATTTATGGCCAGACTTGAAAATAGCACAATTTGTATATTGCTTGCCTGGTTAGGTAGTCAAGTCACTGTAGCAGTTAATCAGTATATAGGTTTCCCTTATACCTTTAATACTTTCAGATTTTTTCTTGTTTTCTGTATTTCTTTAATGCAACTTGCCATTTTGTGCACTGCTTTTCCACCCTGCTGCTCTTTCAAGTGTCTCGTTTAAGTAATTGTCTTTTAACTGGTCCCTGAATTCTTATTAACTTTTGTATGGCCATGACATTGAATTCTGGAACTGGCTGTTGGTTGGATTAAAAAGTCGTCTGTGTTTTTTGAATTGGACATATCAGAGAGAGACATTTACAGGAGGTGCCATCTTTTGGCTAAGTTTTAAACTGCTAGTTCAGTGCTTCTGTCAGCAGATGATACTGATGTTTTAAAAGCATCACAGTGTGCAGCCCCAAGGTGTGTGCTATTCCATTTTCCCAGGGAAATCTATAGACAAGCTGGGAAATGTACTCATTTCATAACAGTTCTGGTGTGTTCATATTGTTAGTGCCTTATTTGTGAACGCTTCCTTTTGATGATGTTTTATACACAGTGTAAAATTGATGATTTCGAACAGAAACACAGATGAATTGTGTATTTTAAAAGTTGTTATACTTTTTACACCTCAACACACCGATTGAAATCTTGCAAACTATATGTAGAAAACATGGAAGCAGAAGCCCATGTGTTGTACCAGATAAGGTTATATAGATATCAGCCTTACATCTACCATATCCATTAATAGAAAACATCATTGTAAACAAAAGAATATGTATGTTATTGTCCGGGTATCCATAACAAATAATTACTGGGTTGCAGATTTAGACGAAGCTGTTTATTGGAGAATTACGCCAGGCGAAACTACAGGCAATTATCATGTATGATAATTATAACACTTCGTAACTGCAAACAATGATTACACTCAAATGTTCCTTGTAACTACACCACATGAAGGTGGTTTCTCCTCTTGCTTCTCTCTCTGACCACTGATCTGATTTCCACCCTGGTCTGATCGCCTCGGATCTGATCTCATCTGTTGCAGTCTACCCTCTTAAAGTAGATCTTCATGTACTGCCAAGAGAACACCTTGTCCAAGGGTTCTCTCTGTATTTGATGCAGCATTGGCTAGCATATCCGGTGCTGCAGGAACTCAACAGTTCGGTCTCTGTTGCTTAGGCAATTTCCTAGGTAGTAGCGGTCTGCCTGTTTTAATTGCCACTGAATTACGCGTTCTTATTGTAGCTGTTGCATAGCAATGGACGTCATATAGTGCCACGCCACATTATGTTACCATTTGTACTATAGCCTTTTTCATCCTTCAGTTGTGAATGCAGTGATTACTGTTTTCAGTTAACAGGCAACTTAATAGGTTGTGAAATACGTAGTAGAGTCATTAAGTTCGTGGAATGTGGTTTTATTGCATCATACAAGGTGTGGCAATAAAGAACCCGGATTACTTTTATGACTCATTTCCGGCCACNAGGTATTCACATACACTTACACAGCTCCACATTGGCCCTCAGAATAGTTGCCGTTGGCTGCTGTGCAAGTCTGCCAACGTTGATATAACTGCCGAAAACATTGCTGAAACATATTGGCAGGAAATTCCTGTACGGCGTCTCTTGTGTCATTGACGATGACCTCGGATGACTGAAATCTATGACCACATAGCTTTGCTTTCAAGCAGTGAAAGAGAAAGAGATTGCATGGTGTGAGATCAGGTGAATACGGAGGGTGTGGCCTGTTGCCTTGCCAGTTCCTCTTGCACAAGAACAGAGCGATGTGCAGGGGCGTTGTCGTGTAGCAACAACCAATTCTTCCTACACCAAATGTTTTGCTAGGGGATTTGCCTAGGTTTTGGCAGAACTTGATGTTTGCCCATTCAAACTTCCACATTTTTTATTTCTGCCACTTGCATTTAACTGCAGTTCACAATAGAGGTCGTAGTTCTACTTACACTGTTTGCACACAACTGCCTCTTGCTGTGATGAGAGATGAACCAACAGAGCGTCATGTCGTGCCTCAACCTATCCACTTAGATATCAACTTAGAGCTGACAGTCCAGGAAAAGCTGTGCCATGGATGGGCAGGTCCATTCGTGAAAGTAGAGGGGTGTTGTGATTAGTCATTCGTCTGCATTCAGTGTGAGCAGACATCCCAAGAGCGTTCTTCCTTGTACAGTCAAGTTAAAAAGCTTTGACTCTAGGAGTCATATTTGAGTGTATTATTCTCTAATTACTGAATTAATATTGTGACGCGTTACCTTACGTCCATCGCCGCACAACAGCTGCAATGGAAATTGTTGAGTTCCAACAGGGACAAATCGAATACAAACAGACTGTTGTGAAGGCGCGTTCCCAAGGCAACGGATTGCCGAACACGTGAGTTTGGAATAGGCACTTCCATGGTAACACAAAGAACAGGGAGCCGTTGCATAGACAATGCAGAAGCAACGAATGTGTCTCCCCAGAAATGAACTACAGGGAGTTTGTTGCACCCGTTACGTAACAGCGGACAATAGAAATGAAACAGTGAGGAATGGTGTCTGGTATCCAGTCTGCAGAGTCCCTACATAAGCCTAGAGCTACAGAGACAGAAGACAGCAAGAAGTCAGTATTGGGAGGGCCGTCGCCGAAGACAGTCGAGATCCAACCACAGCCAAAGATCGTTGAGACGTCGCATTGAAGTATTGGGCCAGAAGTCAAGTGGTGACAGTGACAGTATTTTATTTTATTGTTTATTTTTATTCGTTTATTTTCTTTTTTGTTTATTTATATTTGTACATTTTTTATATCTCCTTTAACATGCCACCTACACAAATTAAATTGATTGGAAAAGTGTTGCGTTCACAATCAAGAGAAATTGTTAGTAATGTATATAAGTATATGAAAGAGGCTGGGCCAACAATTACAGTGAAGAACATAGGAGTGGAAGTAGCAAAGGCAACAGGTGTATCGGAAAGACCTAGGAAATCTTCACTAGCCACTTTGGACGACATTGAGTCTGTCATGCGAAGAACAATTAATGACTTCTACACAGTCGAAAAACGGAGACCTACCCTGAAAAAAGTTCACGAAAAGTTGAAGAAAACGTTAGATTTTCAGGGATGCATCTCCACATTAAAGAAAATTATTTTGAAACTGGGGTTCCGCCGGAAGAAAACAAAAAATAATTGGACATTGCTGGTGTTGCCCCTTTAGAATAGACCCTTGTAATATGTAAATAAACTCTTCATGTATATAACAGTGAAAAGTGTATAATAGTGTAGTGCATAACAGTCTGTCATTTGGCACTTAAAACTTAACATCGGATGTGTGAACATGAACAAGAATAAACCACCATCACTATGCAACACAATGAGGTAGGAAGTTATTTCCTTTTGAGAACGTATGTACTGCATTCCCTGCCACACTTGTCGGCATGCTGGAGCTCTCCCCGCCACTGCCAATACTTCTCCTACCTCACGTCGGAGGACTGTCACCTTTAAGTGCTATAGTGCACTACAATGACACTTTGCGGCAATTCCACGAACTTATTGACTATACCCATAATGTCACGTAGTATGTTGGAGCCAGAGACAGTCTTCAGAATGTCAAAGATTTGTTCTATATTGAAAGTACCGATTGTCAAAGAAAACTTAATTTGATCTTCTGTTTTTTTGATGGTAGTTCATATTTGCTTTGAGAACCTGTACTCATTAAGTATGGGAGATATATACAAATTTCCCATAATGATGTGTCTTGTAAATGTGAAGGTAAAGTTATTCATGTGGTGAATTAAGCACCATGCCTTGAAGACATCTGGGAGAATGGAGGTACAGTTTCACCATTCTTACTTAGTAGGAAATGAGAGTGGTCAGCTTCATGCCCGTGCCACTTTTCCCCAGTGAAACAGCCCATGGTGCCCATTGGGTGGGTTTGTCAGAAGGCCAGTTTGGGTGCTATGGAGAAGACAACTATCTTGCGCCTGCCAGGAATCATGCCTTAGTTCCTTGCTCATTCAACTCATAGCCAAGTCACTATACTGACTGAGCTGTCCCTGATCCTAGTGTGGCTTGTCATATAAAATTAATCTGTGTGTAAATGTTTTAGCATGATGCCTCGAGAGATGCTAGTGGCTTCCAACATTTCAAGAATAATTGGTATTGGATCTGCCCTCACACGCAACAAAGTTCTGCAGAAGGAGGTCCAAGATTGGTATAAACTTCCTGTTGACTTTGTGTCGGGAGGTGACGCTGCCATGGGAGCAGCACTGGCAATGATAGCATGCCAGTAAATTAAATTTTGCTGTAAAACAGGGCTTGTGAAAATCTGCTATTAAGACAGCTGATAAAATCTAAATAAATTTTTGTTATAATGGGTATTTATATTATTGGTTCAGATACTGAAATGATGCACGGTGTGGTGCAGTTAGGATTCTGAAGGAATAGATCATATATGTTCTAGTACTGCTCACATTGTTTGTAACTGTGTTAGACCTGTCACTGTGCAAGTTTTGCAGGTCACTTCACACTCATTCTTCAGTTATCTTCCTCGCACCAAAAGAAGAGTAGTCTACAATGTCACCACATTATTTTGCATTTCTGTAAAAATATTTAATGAAATGTGCATTCTTTAGAGTAATCTGTCACCAGAGAGAATTTTACAACCAATACTCAGCTTTATTACTATAGTGATAACTTTAGGTTTTATTTTATTATCCTTATTTTGCTGTAACCTTGTTTATTGTGGCAACATTGGCACTGTAAAGAATGAAGGTCTCATGCCTTAGCATTGAGCTGTGAAACCGTATGAGGAAAGTGGAAAGAAAGCTCCATATATTCTTAACCTTAGTGCTAGTGGTAGGTCAGTGACCAGTTGCACACACCAATCAGGGAAATAGCTCCCAATTAGCTCCAGTGTGAAAGTGTTGGCAAATTGTACCCCAGTCAGCTAGCCCATTGTTAGTCACTTTACTGACAGTTGTTCCAGTTCATTATATACTTTTATTGGCTGTAATGAGAACTCGGTCAGTTTTGATACTCCATCAGTTGTCATAAGAGCATTTCACTGTGCATGACAGTAAAGATTACACCCATTTATACATATCTGTATATGAATCAAATATATACCATTACAGTATTTATGTATCAAGTACTGGTAACTAGATTCTGTACACTTCTTGCATGTGTGATACTATTTCTGTACTGTGGTCTGTCTGGCTTTAAGAATAGACTGTTGCTCTAATGGTAATAACATTGTGATCCATTGGTATGTTTCTAAACTTACAAATACTTTGGCCTTTGTACATTTTGTAGAAAAGAAGCAGTAGCCATTCTCTGTCAACACACATGCCATTTCATTGCGATAAAAAAAGTAACAAATTTTTGGAGTGTGCCAGTAGACTGCTGATGTTTATTAAGAGGGAAAACTAGACACTGAAAGGGGAATCCATTACATTTAATGAGGAGGGCTCTATTAATCCTAAAGGGAATACATTATTATTATTATTATTATTATAACAAATGTATAAGCATAATCTCAGTGGATAAATTATGAGTTGCTTTCACTGCTATCTTATG